ATCGAGTAACTTTGTAATGCTAAAGAATGAATGGCTATCTTACCTGAAATATATCATAACGAATATCATTAATTTTTGAACGATAGGAGTCATTCCATCACTTGGATTTGATAGCATCGCTTTAAATCGAGGAGAAACATTTACTAAAATGATCTTGTGGGCATAGAAAACTCGGCCCTCAACTTTAAATTGGACATCAGACATTTCAGGATTGTTGACATATTTTGAATCTAGGAAGGAAAAAAAAAAGGAATAGAAACATCATAAAACAACACTGAAATCAAGTTTTGATGGATACCAGTGTGATTCTCAATTCTTTATGTTAGTAGTGTTAATTTATTGGGAAGTGGAGTATAAAATAAATATAAAAAAAATAAGTAAATATGTTATAAAGACTAGTAACCTATTCCAATACTTCTAAATTACTAACAAATTCTATAATTTAAAACAAAATGTTTTTCCATTTATCAATAGAGTAGCATAAACCGATAGATATGTAATAAGAAAAAATAAGTAGAAAAATGTTTATGTTTTCAAGATCAAATATATGTTTACCCAAGTTCAACACTTTGATTGCTTACTGATTACAGCTATCAAACAGATTGTTTACCCGAGTTCAACATTTTCATTGCTTACCAATTCTAGCTATCAAACAGATGTTTACCCAAGTTCAACATTTTGATTGCTTACTGATTACATCTATCAAACAGATTGTTTACCCAAGTTCAACATTTTCATTGCTTACCAATTCCAGCTATCAAACAGATGTTTACCCAAGTTCAACATTTTCATTGCTTACCAATTCCAGCTATCAAACAGATGTTTACCCAAGTTCAACATTTTCATTGCTTACCAATTCCAGCTATCAAACAGATGTTTACCCAAGTTCAACATTTTGATTGCTTACTGATTACATCTATCAAACAGATTGTTTACCCGAGTTCAACATTTTCGTTGCTTACCAATTCCAGCTATCAAAGAGATGTTTACCCAAGTTCAACATTTTGATTGCTTACTGATTACATCTATCAAACAGATTGTTTACCCGAGTTCAACATTTTCGTTGCTTACCAATTCCAGCTATCAAAGAGATGTTTACCCAAGTTCAACATTTTCACTGCCTACCAATTCTAGCTATCAAACATATGTTTACCCAAGTTCAACATTTTGATTGCTTACTGATTACAGCTATCAAACAGATGTTTACCCAAGTTCAACACTTTCATTGCTTACCAATTCCAGCTATCAAACAGATGTTTACCCAAGTTCAACATTTTGATTGCTTACTGATTACATCTATCAAACAGATTGTTTACCCAAGTTCAACATTTTCATTGCTTACCAATTCCAGCTATCACACAGATGTTTACCCAAATTCAACATTTTCAATGCCTACCAATTCTAGCTATCAAACAGATGTTTACCCAAGTTCAACATTTTGATTGCTTACCGATTCTAGCTCCTCCAACAAGAGAAACATTATGAATCTCTTTTATAAACTCCTTTCCATAACAAGTAGAAAAGATGTCTGCAAGTAGAAGGCTTGTTCCTTCATTCTAGAACAGAAGAAAAGAAAAAAATGTTTCTGTTGAAAAAATAATTGAACTCCACACATAAATATACACAGGGGTGAAATTCTTCAAGTACTCAATAGTACTGAGTACCAGAACTTATTTTTTTAAGGCAGCACTAGTACTGGGACTTATTTGAGCTGATTTGTCGTTATTCGTGTTTACATTTTTTTTTTCAAAAACAAATCCACTTCACCCAGCTGAGCTTACTTTTTTTTTTTTTTTTTTTTTGAGAACTTTCACCCCTGAATATACATCAGACAAAAAGGGCTTAATATTTTGTAAAGGTAAGTCTTATGTTATAGTCTTAGCAGAAAAAATTAAAAGATGGAAAACTATACACATTTTCTTTGGAAGGTATTTTTAAATCATACATTATTATATCAATTAATGTTACAAAGGTTCATAAATTATTTAACTCTTAACATAATTCAAACTTAATTAAAGTCTACAATATGCTACTTCTAGCATAATTTATCAAACCTTGCTATGTCTGAAGATTGTGAAAAGCAAAGGTAAACATTCATCCACAAACTGCGAACAACAGTCTTCAAGCCAGACTTGTACAAAGTCCTGAAGAATCTGATCTATGATATTCCCAAGATGATTCTCATAAGCTGTAGCTAATGTCTGCATCCAACAATAGAGGGTCCAGGGCACACCTAGTAAATAAAAAACAAAACTGGATCACATTGTTATCAATCAATCAAAAGTTTATGATTCTCAAAATTATCAATACTAATCTTTAACTTTCATAACTTCTTTTAAATCTGATTTAAACTGAACTCAGAATGTTTAATGTGAGAGTTGTAAATTCATTTCCAAAACCATCTATTACAAGAATACTCAGCTTTTGTCTGTCCTAAAAATGTGTGTGCACCTCACTATCTAAGTACGCATGCACGTGTACTTCATTTCAACAGATATAAATATGTTTTAGCAGACAAATGGTACAACATATTAAAAGCTTATCAAAGTTTTTAAAAAGGTCTAAAATTAGGCCATAGGATAACATTATAAGTTTATTTAGTGATCGTATTAAGTACAGTAAAGTTTAGCCCTAACTAAACTAAAGCAAAAAACGTAAACAAGTTACAGTGCTATTATCTCTTTATTGAATATAGGCCATAATTAATAAAGGCTTAACTAATGTTAGGCCTAAGATAATTGAACTTTAGATTTCAATGTCTGTAATTAGTATTCTTTTGTGTTATTCTCGAAATCCTGTATTTAAAGTACTACTGCAATAAAGATACTACTTTTAATGCAAAGGTTTTGCATGTCCTTGTTAATTTAAATTAAAACTCATTGCAAACATCTTTTCTAGACGAAAAATATTCAGGAAATAAAAAAAAATTTTGCCAAAAAAATGTTCATATAAACAACAAAATATTTTCACGATCACATTTACAGTTTTTAAATGAATTTTAATGTAGTTATAATTTATCTTTTTATTATTCTTCAAGTCAAAAATGAATACAAATTATCATGGTTGGTATTCATATGGAGAAAGAAGCTCCACTTATAAGACTTAATAATTTTATACTCTCTATCTATTTATAGAGAAGGAAAAGTAAACATTCAAGATATGCACATTTTCAAATTCACATTTAAGAATATATAAAGTCATTGATTACTTCTGATCAAAGCAATCTACTTACATAGATCAGAATTAAAAAATTAACTAAACAAATGATGTGTCTAATTTCAGAAACCAACCTAAGTAGAACTATAAAATGTAATAAAACAAAATCTTACACAGATTAGAATACATTATAATTTGGTATCCTTGTTGTCAACTGTATCCTTGGTCATAATCCAAATACTATCTGACAAGCTTCAGCCAGCTTCAGAGATTTAGGTTAGTCCTAAATCCATGTATTAAGCTAACAATATCATTTTAAGCCTAACCATTACACAAATGCCGCTTTGAAAATCTAAAATACTTATAAATGCTTATTGGGAGAATGAACTATGTACAAATTAATCTGCTAACTGAAATCCTGAGATAATTCAAAGAAAATAAGTAGTCAATCAATGGGATATATGAAACAGTCATGAAATTCACTCTTCCATGAAGAGTTTAGAATATATCTTTAGTCATATATATTCAAGTAATTTTTCTAAATATTCATTTAGTTTCTGTATGTGGTTAATCACATTCTTGTTAAACAGATATCGAAAGATCATGAGAATGTACTAATCCTTTCACTCAGGTAAAGCTGCATATGTCAACAGTTAGCATTTCTTTTAAACTCTAGAAGCTAGTTAAAGCACAACAGATTTAGAGGTCAGCAAGGAAGCATAATATATCTGATGACACATTATTCACTGTGAATAAAGATTTTGTTTATTTGTTTGCTTGTCTTTCTGCTTTTTTTTCCTTTGCTATCAAGATTTGATTTATTTGAAACTTTTATGTCGCCCATCAGTGAACTTGAGTGTCATGACGGAATAAATGTGCTCATCCATGCTCTTGTGATCTAACATTCTTTCCAAGCATATTTCTGATGTCTGTGGGTCAACTAGAGGATGTGAGAAGGGAATCAACTACATAGAACAGATATACTGACCCATGTTTTGAGGTTTTGGATACCATATACAAAACAATTAAGTGAACTGGTTAGATAGAACAGATTTCTCACCTATGCTCCTGAGGTCTAATGTGCTTTCCAAGTGGCTGTTCTCTGCACTTTGATACATGGCCTCCTGAAGTGCTTTCAACTGAGTCTTTGTAAGTCTGATGAACTGAGCATTTTCCGAGTTACTGATGTGACCTTCAGTATTTGAATGGTTCAGGTCATCCACAGACACAGGCATAATCTGTTTATAAAAACAACAGTATCATTACTCACTTGTCAGTTATGAACTGTACTAACAAAACTTTTTAGTAGCTGGACCTAACTTTCATGAGTAAATAAATGATAGGAGTTTTGAAAACTTATTTTTTTTGTTTTTACAGTTATCTGTTCATAAGTCTAGTACAAAATTATTTGATAAAATTTCAAATCATCCTGGTTAAGAAGACATTTAATATCATTACATTATGTTTACAAACCTGTAAACTATTAGGTCGTCAAGAAATTATTGTCGCTATTTCCTAGATGAAAAAAGCCGAACAACTTACATATCAAAACAAAACATTTATTAAATGAAATAGTCTCCATTCTTATCGATGATGCTTTTCCATCTTAAAATCAGGTTGTTAATGCCCT